GTGTGGTTTTGCTGATGTGCCCATGTCCATATACTCCTGGCTTAACGTAGTAAGTTTGGGGGCTGGGGATTTAACTCAGCGGCAAAAGTGCCTGCCTGGCAAGCGCAAGGTCGTGAGTTCGGTTTCCGGTACCGGAAAAAAACCAAAAAAAAAAAAAAAAGAAAAGTAATAAGTTAACGTTTTATTACCATGAGTAAGTTAGTTTGCAATTCATGCTTTTGCTGGGAAGATTTTTTTTTTTTTGATACCGGGAATCGAACTCAGGACCTTGCGCTTGCCAGGCAGGCGCTGTGCCACTGAGTTTATCCCCAGCCCAGGAAGATTGTTTACTTGAACAAACAAGTGTAGAGTCACTCTCTTTTGACACTTGTACTCAAATGGACTAATTCAGATCAGACTATTGCTTTATGAAATGGCACAGTCTGCAAGCTGCTGCTCTATACAACATAGAATACTTCAGGGCAGTATGCAGGCTGGTCTTTTTTTTAAGACTACTTGCTATGTAGTTCAGGCTGGCCTTGAACTCATAGTGATCCTCCTGCCTCAGCCTACCGAGTGCTGGGATTACCAGCACATACCATCATTCCTGGATGGCCTGCTCTTCATACTGCCCCAATTTTAAAAATTACTTTTCAAAGTTACAGGTGGAATGGTATTGGAAGTTGGGTAGTTTATATGGAGACAAAGCAGTTCTCTGCTGTCCCACCACACTCTGCATTCTGTCCGTCAGACTTGATCCCCTTCGCCTCATGATTGTTCCTTAGCTCTTTCTTCCCTTGTCTGAGGAGCACAATGACACTCTGATTTCTTCATTTAAAGATTACAGGTATTTCAGCCAGCGCCTCAGGGGCTGAGGCAGGAGGATCTTCAGTTCCAGGGCAGCACAGGCAATTTAGCAAGACCTTCCCTCAAAACCACCGCCCCCCCCCCCCCGCCTCCCCACCCTCCGCGAAAGGAATACAGAAAACAAAAAGATTGTAGATATTTCTCATCATTTTTTCTCATGGAAAATGAGTTATCTCACATCACTGTCCCCTCCACTTACTCCAACTTGCCAGCTGTTTCACAATTTTTTGTTTGTTTTGTTTTTTGGAGATAGGGTCTCACTGTGCAGTTCAGGCTGGTCTTGAACTCAGGATCCTCCTGCCTCAGCTTCCCAAGTGGTGAGATTCCTGGCCCTGGGATTTCTCTTTTACATTTTCCTTAGTGATTTCTTCCTCTTATTTTCTACATTGATTCCTGTGTTTCTTGCCTTTCCTACCATCCTCTTCTGTTAATTTGGTGAAATATGTTCTTAATTAGCGCTTTTTTTTTCTTTTTGGTACCGGGAATCGAATTCAGGACCTTTTGCTTGCCAAGCAGGCGCTTGTGCCTGGAGCTACATCCCCGGCCTTAATTAGCTTCCTGAGAAAATGCTCACGAAGTGAATTTTTGTAGACCTCGTACCTGTGAGAAAGATGGCCTTTCATTTACCTGAGTGTGAGACAGCTGACTGTATGCCAGCTTCCAGGTGGGTATGTGACTCCTTTGAGTGTAACCCATCTCTTCTCTGTGACAGTTCTTTTTTTTCTGGGTGACAGTTTTCTTTTTTTTGACATTTAAAAAAAATCTTTCCTGGAACCAGGCATATAGCTCAGCGGCACAGCGCCTGCCTGGCAAGTGCAAGGTCCTGAGTTCGATTCCTGGTACCAAAATAAATAAACAAACAAATAAATAAAGTTTTAAAAATCTTTTCTGGTAATACTGGGATTGAACCCGGGGCTCTTCCACTGAGCTACATCCCAGCCTTTATTTTTTCATTTTCATTTTCATTTTCGGATCAGGTGTCGGCAAGTTGCCCAGGCTGGGCTTGAATTTGCAGAGCTCCTGCTTCCGCCTTCAGAGCGCTGGGATTGCAGCCTGAGTCACCACACTCAGTACCTTCTCTTCTCCGGTACGTGTTTAACGTTCAGAGGTTCCTCCTAATTCCTTTTCCTGTGTAATGACATTCTAACGTGTCCTTTGTATTCTCGAACAGTGTCTGAACCGTATGCATGACAGCAGCGTGGGTCAGCAGCTGGTTCTCCCTGGGGCTAAAGGACAGAGCCTGGGGAACTTGACGAAGAGAGTCAGGATGTGAAGAGGAGGACTGCGAGGGTGAAGCCGGGGTTCCCTGCGGGAGGGGGAAATGTGTTTTGGGAAACAAGATATATTCACATGAAATAACCACTGAGAATGTAAGTCGTTTAATATTACATGCGTGATTCAAGCAATAAGTTGTAAAAATTTAGATGAGGAAAGATCTTTTAGTCTGAGATATGCAAGAATTAAACTGTATTCTCCTAATTAAAGTCACAGGATGGTGGCTGCCTTAGGCTTTATAAATAAAAAAATACATCCCTGAGGACCAAAATATTATTATGACTATTATTATTTTTATCTTTTTCAGACAGGGTCTCGCTATGCAGCTCAGGCTGGCCTTGAGCTCACTTTGTAGCCCACGCTGTTTGCAAACTCACAGCGATCATCCTGCCTCAGCCTCCTGA